TACATACATACATACATACATACATACATACATACATACATACATACATACATACATACATGAACGGATCACTCTGTTTTGCAAAATACATTACCTTTAACCCCAGTAACATTTAAATACGCACAACCACATGCTCTTACACATGTAGCWATGCTAGCTGTATGTATAAGGTTTGCAGCTAAAGAAAAGGCGTGAAAGTCACTTCAGGTTTCAGCGAGTTGTGATTTATTAAACGTGTTGATACTTAATTGTGCCTGCTACACAAATCACACTGAGTGGAGCGGGCGACCGTTCTAAGATGGCGGCCCCACGTCTCGTCAGCTCCAATAGGCAGTAGCGGTGATCAGGTTCCAGAAGGCGCCAAAAAAATGTAAATAATAAATAAATAAACTGATAACAGAGGTAGAAGCATTCGTTCAAAAGCACTTCACCTCAAATGTGACAAGTAAAATGGAAAACTGACAAATGAAACTGAAACTGACCAGTGAGACTGACAGATTTTTTGTTGACGACTGACAAGTAAAACTGAAAACCTTTTTGTTGACAACTGATGACTGAGAAGTAAAACTGAGGATGTCCTAAAATGTACACCGCACTGGCCAAACCACACTTGCCATACTAGCAGTGCCAGCTTGACATCAGCTCTGTCCCACACCTGTGAACTATGTAGATTAGTTCTATAGATGCTTCTAAACAAGAGTTCAATTTTTCCCACACCATCAGATTAGACTGGTCCAAAAGCTCCATTAAATATTTACATTGTTATGTTTCAAATGCTTTGTAAGGACAAAAAWTTTTTGACATTTCTTTTTGTAATGTGATAGTTTGATAGAAACTGATACCATTATACAGAAATTGACAAACCTTTGAAGTGGGATTTGGCAGAAAGATCATGAACAAATAATTTGACAATGAAAATGACCAACTGATGACTATGTGAAGCAGGACCAAACTGGATGGTTGCTGACTTAAAATGACTGTAATAGAAACTTTTAATGTGATTCGTGTGAAAGCTTAAACTGACTACAATCCTCTCATTGTAGTCAGTTTTACACTATAATAATTCTTATAATATTATTTATTTTACCTTAGTCAAAAAATAGTTGTGATGTAACTGTTAATTCAACATAGATTCATAATCAAGTATAGCTGATTGAAATGTGAATTGATTTATGAACATTAAGGAATTGGTTTTGTTGTTATTATATATCAAAAGGTTTCTCTTTAAGACAAATTCACTGTAAAACGTTTATCTAAAAAGGACAAGACAGATAAAAGTTTTTACTCTCGTTAAAAGAAGACCTAATGATGCTGAACTACACGCATCACATGAATTCATAAGTTTTCTTGTCTTACCAGYTTACTTGGCTGATGTGGCATCAGAACTGGTTCCTCAAAATGCTATAAATGTGATCCCTTCACGTTGGCAGACACATTATAAATATTGCAGTGTTGACTAATATTCCATGTCGCAAAAAGCCACTAAACCACTGCAGCAGCGGAGGACCACTGGGAAATGGAACTTCAGAGTTGGCAGTGCAGATTTTGTGTGGTTATGTGTGCATAAAATTTTCTAATAACCTGAAACTACAGCAAAATCTGTATTGGAAGGTTTTGCCTCTTGTTTTAAGTATCATTTCTGAAGTCGTCAGACTGGATAGGATTATTAATCATACTGGTATTTCCCCTGTTTCCCTAGAACTGAGACCAACTGTAACAAGTTGCAATAGTAGGTGTCTCTCAAGCATTTTACTGTAAATTATTGTTAAGGTTTTTGTCTACACTTGCCCAAGTTTAAGTAGGTTTACTTATCCAACAGAACCAACAGAACAACGGAGTCACGCTTCAAAATAGTTGCATGAACCAGGCTGTTTTTAAAAAGAACTTCTGCTCTGAGARGACAGGGGTATATTGCTCTGCTTCCCACCATAATCATCCGTCTTATTTTAAGTTTTAGAGCTCAAAACTGTTCCATCGACGTCACACCYCAACTAAAGATGTTTGGGTTCTGCTTTACTCTGAAACAAAGCATTCACACACTGAAGCTTTAAGATGGACTCAAGATTTCCAAGTTGCTCACTCATACAGTGTCAAGTTCATTGTCTTTTCCTGGAAATCTGCACTTATGGTAATAAAATACCCAGCAAACAACATCAATGTCAAAACCAGCCAACACCCTGAGCAAAAATAATACAGATTACATAATCTTTTCATGTTCGAGTGCAGAGCTTTTAAGGCATTTCACATTTAAACTTGTGTCTGAAATGATCTCACCTGCTGTTTATGGTAAGAYGCTTGTTGTTGAAGAAAGCTGTCCTGTGGCAACGAGTTCTCAACACATTCCACAGATGTTCCAGATGTGGAGACAGGTCAGAAGGCACACTTCAAAAAAGAAAGCCACTCAGAGCTGCTGACACACAGTCAGTCCCACATGGTCCTCTCGACTGAGTTGGATAATTAATTATTAGCTAGAACAATAATTACAGCGTYCAAGGGTGTTTCTTCTGTCTCTGCTCCGTCTGATAATTTTGTTCTGCTTGTGACTTTCCGTCCGAAGRCACAGCCTAAATGTCAGTAAAGGGTGTGCTAAAGGGGATGAAGAGAACTGCAAAAGAGAGAAGAGCCACATGCAGTGGGAGGAGGAAGGTGTAGTTTTGCACATGTATAGGACAGGAAGTGCAGATGAGTGAAGTCAGCTCTAGCCTGTGGTGTAACAGATATGAAACGTACGATTGTGCTCCTGTCGGAGAAAACYTATGGAGCACTTACAAGAAACTCTGTGGGAACACTATGAAACACATTACATCACTAAAATTCACTTTACTTCTCTTACGCTTTCTTTTTGATTATCGTGTGTATCAGTAACAAAGATTTACATGATTATAAGCACGATAAGGGGAGGTTTGTACGTGCTGGTTTTTTTTTTTCTTTTTCTTTTTTTTTTCTTAAGGAAAAATTCTGTGATGGAAACCTGGCCTCAGTTAGATAAACATCAACACCAGCTGTAAATGTTGTAGGTTTGCCAAAACACCGGAATGTACAGTTGTGTTCAGCTGCAAGAGAAATCAAAGAGCAAACTTTAAATGAAATGAGTCACTATATTTCTGACATTAATACTAGATTATTATCTAAACAGAGTTTTCCCAACATTTTACTTTGGGGCACTAGTTTCTAGTAAAATCCCAAAGTGTTTGTTTCCTTGTTCCATCTGCTTTCTGTTTCCACTTGTGACGCAACACGTAAGCATTCGAGGAATATAGTAATTACACTGTCAGTCCTTTAAACAGTAAAGGAAGTGGGATTKTGTGGGAAGGTTACATACCTGTTGTAGATAGGTCTTTGCTTAGAGAAAAACACATCACCAGGTTTGCCTCATGCGACCACATAAACATGCTGAAATTGCTCCAAAATCACACACAAAAAAACGTGTTCACATGTAACAAGTTTGATTTTCACAAATAATTAAAATGTGTTTTACAAATGTCACAATGTCAATTTAAGTTTTTATGTGTTAGGTTCATATGTTTTTTTTACTCCGATTTCTGTTGTCTTTAAACTTCTCTGATAAAATGTCATTGTTGTTCGTGCATAAAACATCATAAAAAGTGAGCAATATTATATTTTCCCCATGTCTTTGTGTATGTGTTTTTGTTTTGTTTTTGTTTTTTTGTTAGCAAGGTATTTCCTGAACCAGCAGACGAATGTTAATAAAACTCTCAGAAAGTAATCAGCTGCAACAATAACCTTTGGAGTCAACATGGTTCAAGATGACTGGCACACCTTGGCAAAAAAAAAAAAAAGCTATGACTCAGTCTGTTTGACAGAAAGTGGGCTAAAATTTGTTGTGAGAGTAACTGGGAGTTGTTCCCATCACATGCTCTGAATACTTCCTGTTCTCACCTGAGCCTCACTTTTCCCCCAGGTGTTTGTCATTATTGTTAGTGTCTTTTTTATATACTTTGTCACTTAGTTTGTCCAGATTCTGTGCATTGTGTTTGTAAGCTGTTCTTGCTTTTGTTCTCCTTCTGAGATTATTTCTAGCGAGTACTTTGCTGCATCGTCAGCATTTTTGTTTACTTTTTGAAAATAAATTAGTTCTCTGTTTTACATTTGCGTTAAGTGTTTTGTTTCTGCATATCTCTAAGCATGATGATTTCTGCCTGAATATCTATATAATTTAAAACTGACTTGATTTATAAAGTTTCATTCACATGAACACACAGATTGGTTTTGTTTTGACACAGCAGTAATCCACTTTTGTTTTGTTCAAGTTTTCAATTATCTTATTAATCCAATCTGAATTCATGTATTTTTCAAACTGAAGTGATTCAAAAAGCTATCTAGAACAGGTAAGATATTAACTGTTCATCACAATTACACCAAACCCCACTTCCAAAGATTTGAACTGCACTAAGCTTAGTGTAACTCCAGGAAGCAGCACACTTAGGATGATGGAGGAACTGTGTATGGTGTGTGGTGCATATTTTAGACTAAAAGTACAAAAAATAGTTCTGCTTTATGTTTTGTTTCAGAAAATATCATTGAAACAAGTTAGCTCTGACACTTGTTCCAATTTACTACAATATTTTTTACGAAACCTTRGTTTAATTTTTGTCAGTCTCTAATCTTGTGGTAGATTTTATCATTATTCTAGAATTTCTTTCTTTTTTTAACTTTATATTGATAGTACCACAAAATAGTCTCTCAAATGATGTCACAGTTTTGATAAAATAGATGTAGACTGAGCTATGGTTTCACTTCCTGAAACATTTAAAATATTTCCTCCTTTTTTTGTTTTATGTTAAATTTTACATGACAAAAATAGGCAGTGGTTATTTTGTTGCATCTCGTATCCTAACAACTGTGTCCTCAGCTGAACTGCTGAAATCTGAGCTTATTGTAAACTTGATCTCTGCCACCAAATTCACAGAGGCAAGTTTGGACACACTTACTGTGCCTCCTCAGTTACATCGAAATAATGACACCAGGCGTTCTTTTGGTTTAATGGCTTACATTTCTCTGATAATTGCCCATCTGGCTATTATAAGATATTCGAGCGGGTGAACAGAATCTACAAAATGACCAACAGCCATAGTCAGAACACAAATGAGAAGAAAAGGTTGTCCTTGTTTTTTATTTGCTGTAGTATGTGCTGTATATCTTTTTACTTTTTTATCATTTGTAAATTTAAGTTGTTCCTCAATGTGGGTGAGAGTGGGATTGTTTTGTGTCTCTATGATGGACCTGTCCAGTGTGTCTTCTGCCTCTGGAGAAAGGCACCAGCTCCCTGCGAAGAAGTTGAGAAAGAAAATGGATTTGATTTGCTTAAATGTTTGTGCTTAAAGGACAAAACCAAAAATAAATGCATTGTCTATGTGATGAAAATATTACAGTATTAATTGTACATGAATTTTCATGAGCAAATTTCAGTTTTTGATCTACATATCTTCATAACGCTACATAGACATCTGTCCTGCTTTCTTTACAAGCTGTTGTAAAGCTGTCTGAGTTGAGTGTTCTTTGTTGCTGTATGTAAATAAACCCAATTATAAAAGTGATTATCTGCCATGAGCTTCCATTTAGTTCAGCAGTTTTTTGTCCCTGAAAGAGGAAATTCAGTTTTACTGTGGGTTGTAAAAGCACAACAAAATGCAAGAAAAACAACAATAAATGGTAATACAGTAACAGGACATTAGAACAAAGACAACCAAAGCTGGGTTAAAACAGGGACAAAGGTTAGTAAGGGAAAAAGTTTGTGAATGTTGCACAAACTGAAAATGGAACAAAAGAGCGTTTACTGTATATCTCCCATCGTGAAGGAGCATGAGTCTCAAGAAGCAAGAATTGTGACTTTTCTAAAGAAGAGAGCAATCAGGACTGGATAGGTCAGAGTTAAATTTGGTGGCTTTTGATATAGTGTATAATTTGTGTTGAACATAAACAATATTTCTGAAGAAAATTATGCAGCATTCTGCATGACATGATTTCACAGCTATACAAGGCCTATGGTTTGTGGGATTGTGTGAAAACAGACACCTTGAAATAAGCTTGCAATGTGACAATGCTGTAGAATTGATTTCTGAAATTCACAACAATCCTGAAACTTGTTTTACCACCCAAATAAAATGTTTGAGRAGTTATTTACAGAGATATGTTTCTCCAAATTCACTCTGTGAGCAGCAGTGTGGTTCTCTTTCAAACATCACTCGGTATCTCACTATGGGAAAACCAATGCGTAAGCAATCATGGAAGCTCCAATGTGCTTGGCACAAGGGGGCGCCCCACCTTTATAAGCGCTCCTGCCCGACACTTCGTATTCTCGCTTTCTTCCACATGAAGATCAGAGTAGCTCCTACTTTGGTCCTGGACTTGGATTACTCTTTTAACTGTTCACAGACTCAGCCGTCAAGGTTAGTCCAGAACGTGAGATTTTTCAAGTGATTTGGATCTATGGAAAAAATTGTCAAGAAATATATATTTTTGTAAAGAAAAACACATTTTTGTCAAGAAATTTTTCATTTCGCTAACAGCTACCTGGATCCTCTTCGTCTTGATCTCAAGCTGTCAAAGCTGAGTGCTGGCAGGATGGCGACTGCTGGCTCCTCTTGGGGGAAGTCGGGTGGCGGCAAGGCTAAGGACTTCGAGTCCTGTCCTTGCCCAGCCTCCTGCGGGTACACCTTCTCAGGGAAGGATCCTCATTCCCTCTGCATCATGTGCATGGGAGTGAAACATGCTAAGGAGYTGCTGGCAGACCCCAGCTCATGCAACCACTGTCAACCCATGGCACCGCGAATCTTGCAGAGACACCTGCGGGTTGCAGTGGCCTCAAAAGCTGACTCATGTCTCTCTGAGGCAGGAACGCAGCCTGGCGCGAAGTCCGATGGTGGAACAGGTGCGGCGGGCAGGAGCTGGGGAGACAGTGTGGAGTTGGAGAGACCCGTCGAGGAGTTTCCTCCGCTGTTTGACCAGCTTCTCAATGGTGAGGATGAGGATATCTGTGGGGAGGACGATGAGGAGGACATGAATTTGGACATCCTCGAGTGGGACAATGAGGATGACGATGAGAATGCCATTCTCCCTCCCGCAGCCCAGTCATCACAACCAGGCAGCTCCATCAGTGATGGACCTTAACCCTCTCCTGCGTCTCATGAAGTCGACCTCCATGGTGTGTGTAAACGGGCCGTAGCCCGGCTCTCCATCGAGTGGCCAGTTTCGTGGGATGACAAGGGTGAAGAGAGGGATTTAAATGATGGAAAAATCCTGCCCTCCCATCAGACCCAGGCAAAGCAGTTCATGCCTGCGTTTCCCGCGTGCATGAAGGAAAGGAGGCGGTATTGGGACAAGCCTTTTCACCACAGAGTGCCCATCAGGGGTTACTCAGGGCTAGAAATAGCTAACAGTGAAGCTCTGGGGCTCGCAGACCCCCCAGTGGTGGAGCAGTCAGTTGCTTTTCACCTTCATCCCAACTGCCAATCCACTCTGACAGCTGCAGGACCCGCGCTCCTGGGCAAGAGGGACTGCTTCACATCCTCCATGTACCAGAAAGTATACAAGTCTGCAGCTCAGTCCGTAACAAACCTGAATGTGGTCATGCTCCTTTCAGCTTACCAGGTGGAGCTGTTTCAGGATATGGGGGTCCTTTTAGATAAGGGCACCCCGAGTCCAGCAGTTTGGGAAGAGATCTGTGTCGTGACGGATCTCATCCTCCGTGTCTCCAGAGGCGCGGTGCAGGGCTGTGGCCGCATCATGGGCCTGGCAGCGGCGGGAGAGAGGTCACTCTGGCTGAATCTGTCCAGCTTGCCGGATAAGGACAAACAGTCCATCATGGACTCCCCCATTCAACCAGTCGTGAGCTAAGGGGCTGTTTGGAGAGGCAGTCACAGCTATGCAGCAAGCTAGCGACATAAGGAAGAAGCAGGGTGAGGCTTTTGACTTGGGTCTTCTGCGCAAAGCAGCACCATGCCCACTGCCACTGGCTCGTCAGGGCTTTGCAGCCTTGGCAGCGAGGGGCCGCAGCGGAAACTACAAGGGATCCA